TGCGTTCTACAATCGCCATTCATTGGGTTTACTGTGGCGAGCAGGACGAATGAGGGCTGCGGGAGAACGGCGCGAGACTGGTGGTGTGATTACCGATGAGAGACACTTGTGAGACGCATCAGTCTCGTATCTCTCACGGAGGAGCAGGGATTTTCTTAGCAATGTTAAAACGCACATCAACCGATCACTTGTTTAGCGTTCATGTTGTAAAGACTACATTCAGATTCACCAATCAGAAGGAATTCAGTTAGATTGAAACGAAAGGTGTGCATGTAAACAATGAATGGCGACTGCAAAAAGAAAAAGCTGAATCCCGGACATCGACGACCGGACATGTCTGTGAAAAAGAGGATGGTAACCCCTACTACTACTCAGCTTTCTCCACAGAACAAGAGCCTGCTAGCTTATGCCGAGTTCAGACTGCATGATTTTAGCCACGATTTTGGCTCGCCGACAGGTTTTGAGAAATCGCCGACAAATGCCCGAAATCACAGGCAAATCGGCGCTCGTTCACGCGAGTGACAATCACGCAGTGTGAATGAACAAAGACGCGAACTGAGAGAATCACCGACGAGTCGCCGACGCCCGTGAGATATTTGGCATGCTAAATATCTGGACCTGTCGGCGATTCAAAATCCTGCTGTGTGAAAAGTGTTTTGACTGAAAACTACATCGGCGATCACCGGCAGCCAGTGAGAGAGCAATTTACAGAGCAGCAGGGAGTTCGGGGAGGAGTTATAGATCACATATCAACATGATATGGCATTGTTTCAACAAAAAAAGCTTCTTCTCTGTCTATTTGGACACAATAAATGGAAAAAAAATTAGTAGAAATTTGGCAGGAGCACTCGTGTCTGTTTCACCAGCTGTACCACAACCGGGTCGAAAAAAGAAAGTCTCACGTGAGAACTCCGGTCTTGCACGTGTGGTGTCGCGCGTTGTTTCCTTTTCATATCTCACGCGTGTTTGTTGTGAAATGTAGTTTGCGTGCAGCGTGCTAGACAGAGTCTGTCGGCGATTTTTCTAAAGTCATGCAGTGTGAAACCTTCTGTCGCCGATCCATCGTCCAGTGTGAACACAGCAGCGACTGAATGCTGGCCAAGATAGTCATGCAGTGTGAAAAGAGCAGCGACCTGACTACTTTGAAAATCGTGCAGTCTGAAAGAGCCATAAGCTTCCACTTATAGTCTATGTGTTCATTCTGTGAGTGAGATCCCACCCTCTATGGGTGGGTTGAAAACATGCGGAACAGACCCTATACTGACTGTAGTCTTTAGACTCTTGCCAAAAAATCCCTTGATGACACAAAATGACGATTTTACGACAAAAATACATAAATATCTCTTCTCAGGGGAATATGAGGGTGGAAAGCATGGTTCGAAAATACTACAGGTTTTCTATGCAATGCAAAGCTTCACTAACGTACATATACTAAATCCTGAAGTATCCCTTTAATCAATCAGCACATTTTAAATCGCTTGACAGCCCTACTTAAAATTCATAAATAAATAAAAATGTTCTTTTTGATTGAATCATTGTGCATTAGAGTGATGGAATCTGACAAAATAGACTTGCAATGGCATGCTTAAGGATAAATAAAATGGAAAATCATCAATAAATGAAAGAAAGAATGAAGTGCACAAATGTTCATTAGCATAGAAAGTCTATACAAATAGAAAGGTCCATTTGATCTTCATCTAAGGCCAAAACAGGACTAAAACAGGTTTGGATCTTCTGTCTTCTGGCTGTTTGGTTATCTGACTCTCATTCTCTCAGTGAACATATCATACTTTGGAATGAATAATTGCACTTGCACCACTTGAACACAGGCCCAGACAAATCATACATTTCCAATTCTTGGCTAAAGGTAAAGTTAAAGATGACATCAACAACACAATGAATAATAGTTACTCAACACTCAAATAGTTTTAATTAAGAAACTTAGAATGGCAATAACATCATTCAAATTCAAAGATGCTTTTATTATTTTAATTCCACAGTTCATTGAATACTTGATTTGGATTGATCAATATTGTCATTTTCCCCTTAAAGCTAGTATAAATATCTCTAAGAATATGTCTTTTTAATAATGACTCTAAACTTTATAATTTATCCATTCAGGGTTTTTACAGTCAACTAAAACTAAAACCATAAAACACTTCAAACTGAAATAATATATATATATATATTGATATAGGCCTACTTAAAACACAAAAACTGAAGAAAAAAACCCACATCAAATTTACTAAAACTTTAATTAAAATGTATGAAAACAAATGCAAACAAAAACAATTCTAAATTTTTTATTAATAAAAAAAAACAACTATAATAGTATTTTAATGATACTAAAATAACTGCTCCCATTCAAAGAATCTACTGCAACTACTTATTGTTGTATGATTCATTCAAAAGAATCAAAGCTCTTCTGATAGACATCCCAATGAAAGAGAAATGATTTTGTCAAATCCTCTCAGGTACTGCATTTGGCAGTGAAGAGGATGAAGACATGACACCAACACCAGACTATGACTACAATAACTCAACCTACGACTACTATACATTCAGTAAGTTACCATTACAGTCCTGAAGTTTTCTAAAAGTCATTTTCATACGATCTTAGAGTGAGAGTGGACGGTGATTCGACATACAAAGTATGGGATGAAACACAACGTTGCCATGGAAGCCGGCAAACATTATGATATACTGTAGGCTATCTGACCACTCAATGCCACAATTTTGACCAATCAGAATCCAGCATTCCAGAGGTATGTGTAATAAAAAATGACTAATAACTAGACGCGGTTTTAGCGAACTCAAATTTGGTCTGGCTCGATTCTCGCATTCGTTTTCATGGTCCCGTACAATTCCCAATGGATAACGTTGTTTTTTTTACTAGAAAATGTATAATGTTATCAAAGGTTGCAAAAAAAATAAAAAAATGAATCAAAATCACAAAATGTGTGTATTGCCGCAAATGTAACTTGTACATTTTTATGGCTTCCATTTCAGATGACACTGGAAATATTAATGTTAATTATGAATTATATGAAGTTCTACCCGATTCTCGACATCAAGGCAATACGGTAAAGTGGCATACACTTTCTATTACTGTTCTCCAGGCATCACATTTCTAAAAGCCTAGTTAATCACCTTCTTTTTTTTTTTGGTACTTGACAATTGAAATGAATAGAACTAATTTGGCTATTACTGTCACTGCATAAAGTGTTGGAATTCATAATTAAACAGACACATAAAAGGAAGGATGACAGGAAAGATGAGGTAGAAACTTTCGAATATCTCTTCAACAAGCAACTGCTTGATGGCTTTGTTTTACCAAGAATGCTGCAGGCCAAATTGGAAAGCAAAGAGCAAACTGTCTTGACTGGGATATTCTTACCGACTTGTTAATGAACTCCTGCTGTTTTTTAGGGTTCAGTGCCAGTGTATAGACGCTATGGAATATTAGGAGGATTGCTGGTGCTGCTGATCTGCCAGCAAACCTGAAAAAGACAGTTGACAACGGACTAAACAACAGTGAGTTGAAAAAGCCAATCACAAGGTCACTGTAAAAGTAATTCATTTCACTGGATATTATTCATCTCACCTTTATGGCGTTTTACAGAATATTCAAAGCCTGGAGTAAAAAAAAAAAAGTATTATTCATGCACAAAGTATTTAGTCAAAGTAAGGATTTAGAAAATCTCTATTGATTGCACCGGTCTTCACTGTTAGTATATCATACTATTCTAGAGAGGCACATCAGTGTGATAATTTATGATCATGCTATATGTCAGTGTCACAATAATGTTTTGTTTTATATTTCAAAGATATTATGTAGCTGATGCCATCTAAGAGGAAGGACCGAAAAATCCTTTCACTGTCTGCACACTGTACATCAATACTGACATTTTCACTTAATTAAAGTCTGGAAATGTGAAAAAAAAAGAAAAAAAAACCAAACAAACAAAAAAAACTAAACATATCTGTGTGGTTGCAACTTTTATATCTAACTTCAAATGATCACATTGCATATACTGTTTTGCTTTACCTGATTTATTGGGTCTATTCGTTATCCGAGGAGCTTTTCTAAAAAATGTAACCTTTATTCTTTTGCAAAAATGTTGAAATAAATCATTTGTAATATATGTTGGTCTGATTTACTACATTTGCAACTTTCAGCTCTAAGTGTGAACTTTATTTATATATTTCACAAATTCTTAATGAGGTACTAAAATAATAATTTAAGAACAAAATAGGCAGGCTAAAATCACTGAGAACTGGATAAGGGACATATGTTGTTATTACATTTAATCATTTAGTTGACGATTTTATTCAAAGCGACTTTCAAATGAGAACAATTAGGTAATCAAACCAACAATAGGGCAACAACAACATTCAAGTGCTGTGACATCCAGCAGGCAGTAAACATCAGAATAAGTATCCCTATGCCTTTTCCTGTCAATAACAATTTCCACATTTTTAAATCTTATTGGGGAAACTCATTAGGTGATGTTTGTTCAACTCATTGACCACAGTAGGCCTATTGAGAGTAAACAAAGATATAAGTGAGATGTACTATTTACAAACAGAAGTGCGTCACAAGGCTCAGTGCATAGTCCATTGAAAGGTGTTTTTAGTGTAGGCTATGAAAAAAAAAACTGTTTTAAAATGTTTTGTAATTTTATAGTTTATTAATTAATCCGTAATGTATGTTCTTAAGTTTATGTTAATCTTTTGCTTTTTCCTGTTGCATGATTTGTTTAATTTTTCTTTAAAAATTAAAATGTTGACGAAGCACCCAAAATAGCTTGTAATTGTGACAGCTTACCCTTTATGATGTAACACAATAGGGCATATTGTAAAAAAAAAAAAAGAAAGAAAGAAAAGACCTTATGGTTTGTGCCGATATAAAGAGTTTGTCGTAGAAATAAAATATTAATTGGAGTAGTGTCATAAATCCTAAAATTATATTATAAATGTAACATAAATATATATTGTACAAAATACAGAAAGAAAGAAAGAAAGAAAGAAAGAAGACTTTCTTTCACAACGCGCGCGAGCTCATGGATGAGACATGAGAGAGATACGTGATCTCATTATATATTCTGTACATTCTCTCTCTCTCGAGACCACATGAGACCTCACGAGTTGCGACGATATTTACAGAACGCCCACCTAACCCCAATTCCGTCTTGGAGCACACAGACGTGAGATGTCCACTGGATAGTGATGAAATCACCGTCAGCATCGGTGTTAAACAGCTGGTTTTGTTCTCTCGCTCGCGTGAACCGCACACTGACTGCTATAACTGGGATGCCTCTTTCCCGTAAGAGCTGCTATCATCCGTTTTTATTTGTGATTTAAAATGCCGAGGTTCCAGTTTTTAAACAGCACTACTATGCCAAATCACAATTATGAATGGAGCTACGAATACTACGACGACGAAGAGCCCGTGTCTTTTGAAGGACTCAAAGCACATCGATGTAAGTGTTTCTCTGCAGCATTAAGTCCATTATAGCTTGATGCGTTTGATCCTGTTTTTGTCATCTTTTTGTTAACTATGAAACAAAAAACAAATATATTCTTAGATATGAAAATGGCTTTTTAAATGTGTAATAAATAAAAGAAAAGTTTATCCAGCATGCATTACGACATGAGAATAATGTAAATCGTATAATAATCAACCATTTATTTACCTTTTATATTAAATTATTTATATATAATATATAATAAATATAGTAGTATTGTCATCTCTAAGTGCACCAATTTGTATATTTGTTTGTTAAAAATGATGAAAACAGGAATATATCTGTATATATATATAATATAATTAGGCTAGATAAATTTGCATGACACATTTTAGCATTTCAGTTGCATTTTAACTTCACCCAGCTTTGTTTCTTCCTCCAGATTCCATTGTGATCGGCTTCTGGGTGGGTCTTGCAGTTTTTGTCATTTTTATGTTTTTTGTTCTGACTCTTCTGACCAAAACAGGAGCTCCACACCCAGAGTAAGTATTTTTATACAGTAAATTGTGAAAGACATGCTTTGCGAATCAGCTAGGGCAAGGACAGAACAAAACAAAAGTAAAGGCAGTATAATAATTCCCAGTGGAATCATTTCTCACTTCTGCACCACAAGCACGATGTACTAGACAGAGTCAGCATTTCAGCACAGTTTTTCTGTTTCCCACCGCCTGCAATCCGGCCATTATCCTTTGCTTCAGAAAGCTCTGTGTGTGTGTTTGTGTGTGTGTGTGTGTTTGCGGCCTCCTCACTCTCATTAGCTCTCTGCTAGGTCAGTGTCTCCAATGTTGCACTCCTTTAGACCAACAAACAATCTTTTCAGAAAACTTTGATTAAACCAACAGCGCTCTGCAATCTCAGCCCAATTAGCATGAAGTCTTTATCCGAAACTCAAACATTCATCCATTTTATGTCCTGCCGTTTCAATCCAATCCAATCTTTTAGTGGTGCATTCTCATGTTTATTAATGTGAACAAATGCACTCATATTATGCGTGCACATACACAAACAATAATTATCTATGTCAGTGCTCTGGTAGCAATCCAGAATTCATTTAAAAGCAAATTAATGTCCACTAAAGCCCTCTTTTTACACTCAGATATATTGGCCAAATAATTTGAAGGGGTGTTTATTGCATATAATTATACTCGGTTATAATAGTAAAGCACTATTAGTCCTCATCCTCTGGTCTAATGGAGCAGTGAGGAAGCTCAGGGGTCAGGCTGAGAGTCTGTTTAGAGCTTTTTTAATTAAACTGTTCTATAGATGCGAGTCATCCATTAACACAGCCCGGCAGAAACCTCTTACAAGCCAGTGGAAATGTGCTCCCGCACACACACACACACACACATGGAGGATAGAGAATAAGATGAGGGTAAGATAGAATATAAGATAAGAACACTCTTCAGAAGCACCGGTGCTCATTTCACCTCTAAATTAGAAAAGGGAAATAAAGCTCTTTGCTGATGAAGCTTCGAGTTCAATATTCCTCTCTGAATCCCCCAGGGCTGCAGAACCGTACGAGAAAAGGATGCGTCTCACCAGCTGCGCAGAGGGTCTGGGACGCCAACGTGAGGCGGACACCCGAATGGGTCTCTCCCGCCCGTTGCTGGAAGAGTCCCGGTCTCTGTTTCACTGTTATATTAATGAAGAAGAGCGAGATGGAGGCAGGGCCACGAGCGACGCCGGGCGCACGGGCAGCGGCCACTCCAGAGGGCAGGTGGAAGCGGTCGGCCTTGTCGTCCAAAGCATGGGAATGGAGACCAGGGCGGAACGAGAGGCAGTGCTCCTGGCGCATTTCAACATTCCCAACTTTGTGAACTCAGAACTGAGCTCCGCTCTCGGAGACGAAGATTTACTACTGGGCGATCCACCGATCATAATGGACGAGGCCCGTCCGCGCTGTACCCATCACATAATTGACTAAACCATCGGTTTAAAGACAGTCAGATGCCATTATATTTTCATTATGGCTCCATCTCTCTCCTCAACTCAGTCTATTATCTTTAAAAGTGGAGAGGAAAGTGTTTCGCTTCAAAAGTGGAGCTATTTTCTGACATCTTGGGTCTACAATGAAAAACGACAGCAGCATGAAAGATGAGAAAGATTGGATGGCACGAATGGGATTCTGAGAATATGCTCTTGACAGCATGTTGAAAGAATGTTGGGAAGCCTGTGGTTAGACAGTGATATTTGAAGAAAATACGTATGAAGACAGATTGCAATGCCTTATTGGTTCATGCTCCATTCCTATTATCAGCATTATTAAAAAAAAGTCTCTTGATGTGCTGCAGGAAGATGTCGATGCAGCATTGTACTTGTGTGGTCTAATTGCAGCAATTTGGTATCGCACGGCCTTTTTCTCTGGCCTTGTCGTGTGAGCAAATGCCTGAGTAGAAAATAGTTTTAGCTGAATCAGTGGCTTTCTAGAGAATATCTGCAGTATACTTGCATACAAACTCGATGTAATTGTTTGAGTACAGCTGCCTGAGCAATTCAATGCCTCAGTCTCTTTTGTCTTATTTAACACCTATATGCCAATAAAATTCAGTTGCGTAGTTTCCTGTGGTGATATTGGCTGACGCAAACAAATCCCTACAATAATGAAGCCTCAAATCATTCAGCCAAATATAGTGGCCAGAATATCATGCAAACTTTTTTGGCAAGTTGCTACCTAGCAACCACTCGGAAAACCATAGCAACCATACAGCAATGTCCTGGCAACCACCGAGAACACTCAGGTGGAAATACTATTGTAGTTTATAGTGTAAAATTATGGGATAACATACAACGTTTTAACTTTTAAAAATATGATTATTATTATTTCAGTATCTATCATTAGCTAAGATAAAAACGAGCACTTTGCCTGAGGAAAAATTCTAAATGAAATGACTCACAATCTACTGAGCAACATTACACATTCAAAATTGCAGACACATAATTCATAATTTAGACAGGTGACAGGCAAGGGCAGCTTTGAACAGGGATCAAATGTGACACTAGCTGAACCATAGCAGGTTTTGACTATTTATGATGACTCACTCACTAGACTTTGTCATTTTTGCGATAACGCAAATGTCAATTTTGAAAGGCAATGATTTTATTTTTATCAAGTAAATTTCCCATTCAAATTTCTTAATCCTTCCTGTATTCCACAAATGTATCCTATGAACCCGAATTAATTATATATTATGTTTATAAACAGTTCTGCATGCTGATCAGCTCTTAATAATCATCACACTGCAGCAGATCCATCTCCAGTCACTTCTATGCAATCTATGTTCTTTTAGTAGTTCATTAGCATTCGGACTGTGTCCTTGAAGCCAGCTCTAAGATGAGTAATAAAGCAAGACGTCTACAGAATTGTATATTGTGTAAACATACTTTTAGGTTAAGCTTTTGAGATGAGCCTTTTTTTTATAACTCTTAAGTGGGTGGTGTATCAACAAACATTTTACAGCTGTTTGTTCAGGGATTTTGGGATTTTGCGCAATGTTGTAAAAACAACAGAGCAGAAAAACAGGTCAAATTAAACTTTAATACAAAATAACATTTTTGGTTTGTGCAACAATTACTAACACCACATATCTTATATGCTACATACCCAGCATGTTCCTTGACAATTAAATTAAATAATCTTTACAAAATAAAGGGGAAAATGTTTTAAATGGTGCAAAGGCTGCTCAGGATCGGAGAGGCAGGTATGTGTGTGTAGTTGTGGAGGTGTGTTCGGGGATGGGGATGACTACACCCTGTCTCTGGAGTTCTCTGAGCACATCCAGTATAGAGTCCAGCTCCAGTCTGAAGGCATCCAGCTCTTTAGCCCTGCCGTGAGCGAGTCTCCTCCAGCGCTCCACCTCATCCTGCTGCTCCTGTTCCACCACACGCCGTGTGTCTGCAATCACCTGCAACACACCTAACATCAGTGTCCTCAATCACAATATAGGGGGAAATGGTTAGAGAGTCAGACTGGTGACTCGAAAGTTGCGGGTTCGATCGTTTGAGCAAAGCACCTAACCCCCAATCACTCCCTGGGCGCCACAGCAAAATGGCTGCCTACTGTGTGTGTGTCCATGGTTTGCAATGTGTGTTCACTACTCACTACTCCTAATGTGTGTGCTCTAAATAGGATGACTTGCTCCCAAGCACTTGCTGTGGTATTTCACCATACAATATTGTTATCCATTTTACACGCTTAGAAAAGCGCAACGTTTTATTTTGTGTCACCGTCCTAGGTCGAGTTACACGACTCGAGTAACTGCATTTAAATAGGGAAAACGTGGAGGTTTTTGGTCGCTTCTCTGCTTATCTATGGGTTGTCATACAATTCTAAAAGTACATTAATCAGAGATTGTGGTTTACTAAAATATCCCACCTGCCATCCCGTGACATCATTTAAAAAGACAGTTAATTGTAGTTTCATTCATCATCCTTCTAGCTTAATGTGTTTTCCATTTCATTTAAATTCATATTTGTTTAATAAACACTCTAATTGTTTACTTGAAGTGATCTCATCAAGTTTACTAATTGGTTTGGTTGAAGATTAAACTGAATATTTCTATTGCGTTCATTCACACATAAAATACATAGTTAAAGTTGAAAAGAGGAAATTGTGTATGGTGTTAAAGGGTGTTAAGAGAGATCCCTTATAATTAGTCGAGAGACTGCAAAGTTCAAACTCGAGTACCTGCCCTAAGAGCTTAGGTTCGTCATATCTGAGATGGGAAAGAGGGTGCTACAAATGTTTTTGAAAGAAGTCTAACCAAGGCTGCACTTATTTGCTCAAAACTACAGTAAAATCTGTTGTAATATATCTTGTATCTATATTGTAATCAATTTTTTTATACTCATGTGATGCAAAGCTGAATCATTTCAGCATCATTACTCAGTCTTCAGTGTCACATGATCCTTCAGAAATCATTCTAATATGCTGATTTAAATCTGCAAAGTTGTGCTGCTTTTTGTGGAAACCATGTTACATTGTGTTCAGGATTCTTTGATGAATATAAAGTTTAAAATAACAGCATTTATTTGAAATCTTTTGTAACATTTAATCATTTGTGTCATAGGTGAATATAAGTATTCAATTCTTTAAAGCTTAAAACATTTGAATGGTACATGAAGTAGTGGTTGTGTTACCTGCTGAAGCTGTTTCTCACGCTGATGGTAGCGGAGCTCCATGGACTTAATCTTTTGCTCCAGGCTAGTGAAGTGTCTTAGTTGAGGACTGTGGGCTTCTTTGGCCCGTTTCAGCTCTTCCAGAAGCTTAGACAGCTTTTTACATACACATAACAGGAAATATGGAGAGAAAATTCAAAATCCAGTTAAAAGAATAATGGAAATTAAATTACTGAGTAACTACCTGATTCTGCAGTGTTTCCTCTCTGATTTTAGACACAGCCAGAGCATCTTTGGTTCCCTTGAGCTCCTTTACTTGCCCCTGTAAATGCTGCACTATGATCTGAATAGAAAAGTTACATTCAGAATTTAAAAAACATAAAGCTTTTATCCAAAGCAACTTACAATACAGGCAAAGTATTTCATTTTCTTTACCCACGACCTCAGTGTCTCTAGTGCCAAGGAAACATTTAGTGGCAAATACATGCACACAGTCACATAAACAGTCAAACTCATTCATTCTAGAACCAACTTCCTGTGTGTTCACTTGATTGCTGAGTTCAGCCACTTTGGAGGACGAATGATCGAGGGCATGGCACGCTAGAAGTCGTTCAATCTCTCTTTGATGCTCAGCCTTGACCGAGGCGAGCTGCTCAGAATTCTGCTCCTGAATCCTGAAAAAGTGATATTTTAATATTGTTACACACACTCGATAACACTGAATCATCATGTTAACTCTTTCCTACTCATAATAGGGGCGATGCATCGTTTTAATTTGAATAATATGGTGCGACACTTATTTTATAGAATGTTTTATTATAACCATGTTGGGTGCAGTTGTGTGTAAACTAAATTACACTGTTATAGGCTAATGTGTCTGCCTTGTTAATTTAGATTTTATGAAACTTGCTCATTATTTTAAAGTGAAGAAATCAAGATCTTCTCCTGCAGGATATAGGGTAATGTTGTATTGTCTGTGTATTATAGTGAAGACAACTCCGAACACATTTATGTATGCCTGTGAAAGAAGACCAAGCCAATTAGAATAAGTATGGGGCAGAGCGACACGTGTAGGCTGGTCCTTCTACGGTTTAATTCTGTGAAGAGAATTAAGTTTTACTTCATGTAGTATGAGTCATACTCATACTGTATGACTGCTGTTTTTCATTTGTTGTTCAGAACATTTCAAATCGTTTATGAAAACATGAACCACTCCTAAAGACTTTACCTGAGGAGCTGATTCTGTGCGTGTGTGACTGCAGCCTGCAAAGAAACCTTTTCCTGATCTCTAAGGGTCTCTAGTTGTTCCAATCTCATCTTCAAACTATCATTCTCCAGTTGAACCTCTGAGATGTGTGATCCCGAGAACACTCCGGGATGGTAGTCTTTCTCATCTTGGGTAGGGGGGAAAGTCTCAGCTGCATTTTTTTTGGGCTCCTTGGCTGAAACCAAATGTCGCTTGGGCTCATCGCGATCAAAGCCAGGACCCGTCAGCATGGTTTTCCTCTCCCTCTGCAGACGATCTACAGTGCGACTCAGCTCCTGAATGGTGCGGCTCTTGGAGCTCAACTCTTGGGTTAGTCTCTCGATGCGGGTTGCTTGTGCCGCCTCTGCATTGAGTTGGTGGCGTGAGGGGCTGCGGGCAGGCTTGTCTGTTTGCGTCAAAGCTTGGGCCTGGCGGAGCTGTTCTTGCAGAGAGGCCACCTCTGCCTGGAGGATGCTCTCTTGCTTCTGATGGGCCATCTTCACTTCTTCCAGCTCTGCCTTTAACCTTTGAGTTTGTGATTCAGACCATTCTGATGAGATGGCCTGATTGTTTTGGTTCTTCTCAGCCAAACGCTGCTCCAGATCTGTGATCTGCTGTTCATATTGGAGCTGAAAAATAAGATTATAAAAGTTACATATTAAAATGTGCAAACATTTTTCAGCTGGCATAAAACACCATTTAAATATATCCGTCCTTAAAGTCTAATTGCATCAGGGCTTGGTTATATCGCTAAAAAAAGTAAATTTTATTTAATGAACAAATTACATTTATTATCTTTATTTGTTATATTTTATTAATTATATTATAATTATAATAATATACGAGTCTGTCGTGGAAATTTTAGACTGTAGATTAAACCATGTTTCTAACATCTAACCTTTGAACAGAATGTACCGTAAAAACCAATGGAAAACTTGTGACTTGTGCGTGCGTGTGTGTGTATTCATAACATGAACTGGGAAATGAAACTAGACAGTCTAGGTTTGAAAACTTGTGATTATGAAGTAATGAAGAACCAATCAAATTGTAGGGAAATTATTTAATGCATCATGTCATTGTCACCCATTCTCCTTTTCTATAAAAACTGTTGTATTTGTGTTTACTGGTGGGATTCTCAATGGGATTTGTCCGAGATCAAGGAACTGATGCTGTAGTTGACTAAAGACTCGCTGAACT